CAGTCCCCAGACTGGCGCTCGGACCACGCCCCCCAGACAGGCGCTCAGACCACGCCCTCTGAGACAGGCGCTCAGACCACGCCCCCCAGACAGGCGCTCAGACCACGCCCCCCAGACTGGCGCTCAGACCACGCCCTCTGAGACAAGCGCTGAGACCACGCCCCCCAGACAGGCGCTCGGACCACAGTCCCCAGACTGGCGCTCGGACCACGCCCCCCAGACTGGCACTCAGACCACGCCCTCTGAGACAGGCGCTGAGACCACGCCCCCCAGACAGGCGCTGAGACCACGCCCCCCAGACAGGCGCTCAGACCCGCCCTCCCAGACAGGCGCTCAGACCACGCCCCCCAGACAGGCGCTCAGACCACGCCCCCCAGACACTGCTCAGACAGCAGGGCCTCAGTACTGAACACCTGGCTGGCAGCGGGAAGGTGGGCGCAAAGACGCCTCCTGGGTCGCCCTGGATGACAACTGCACCCTCACTCACCAGCCACAGGTGTTTGGCATCGGGGGTCATGGAGGCCTCGGGTCTGTCCACGGAGGAGCCCCGGTCACTGAGTAGGGGGTGGCTGGAGTCAGAGACGCTCGCAGAACAGGTACCTAGGGGAGAGCAGAGGCTCCGTCAGGACTGCCTGACAGGAGCTGTGGAAAGGAGGACTGTGCAGAGGGGATGACAGAGATTGTGGAGGGCTCCAGGGGAACCAAGCAAAAGGTCAAGTGGAGAAGCAGCCACGCAGTAGCTACACAGGTAATTCTAGCACTTAGGAGGCCGAGGCGGGTGGAACCTTGAGCCCAGTAGCTCGAGACCACCCTGGGCAGCGTAGCGAGACCCTCATCTCTAGAGAAAAATATAAAAGTTAGCCAGGTGTTGTGGAGCACGTTGGTAGTCCTAGCTACTCAGGAGGCTGAGGCAGGCGGATTGCTTGAGCCCAGGAGGTCAGGCTGCAGTGAGCTATAATGGTGCCTCTGCACTCCAGCCTGGGCACCAGAGCAAGACCTTGTCTCAAAAAGAAGAAAAAGAGTGAAAAGTGTGGCTTCCACATTGGGACTTTCATTGGGGCCCATGTGGTATAGAGGGTCCACAGGACCCCCGAAGGGTCCCTGTGTCTGAGCCCCAGAACGAGCTGGCGTGGGCAGTCCCACAGCACCAGTGGCCTGTGTCTGAGCCCCAGAACAAGCTGGCGTGGGCAGTTCTACAGCACCAGTGAGGCAGACTACAGATGCGTGGGGCGGGACCCTCCTCCCACAGTCCACACCTCACACTGGAGCTGGAGGTCGACCTCCCTCCCTCCACCAGCTCCAAGAGGCTGAGGCACAGCTCCAGGTGGGGGAGACCTAGGTTAAGCGAGAGGTTTGGAAGTGGCCTGGCCTGGACCTCCTAACACTGGGAAGGGAGCCATAACCGCCAAACCTGATTGTCCCAAGACTCTGGCCTCGCAGGCAGACAAGGAGGCCTGGCCGTGCCTGGTGGGATGTGGTGGGTGGGGTGACAAGAACCCTGAGTTGCGAAGGCTCTCTGTAAAGTTCAGCTCTCACGATGGTAGGAGCAGCCCTGTACAGCCAGCAAGAATCGTTCTGTGCTCAGCAGCGCGAAAAGCAGTTGAAGGAACCATGGTGCAGGTTCCAGAGCCATGTCCTGCGAACCCAGCTGGTTCACTATGGACACCCTGCTCCCTTCTCAGAGGACTAGAAGGGTCTATCACTCATCAACTCATCTAGTTAGCTATCTTTCTATATCCCAATGTTAATAATAATTATGTCTAGGTAATAGAATCATGAGAATTATTTTTAAATATTAAAAAATATTTTTACAATAAATATGCATTACTTAATAAGAAGTTTTCAAGTTAAAGGGAGATGCCTGCCTGAGGTGGTGCCCTCTTGCACACACGAGCTCCCTTGGTCCCTGGGAGCTGCCTGCTCAGGAAGATGTGGGCTGAGGTGGAGGGATGGGTGCCCACAGGATGGGTCGGGGTGGGGGCGAAGGTGGGTACGGGGGTGAGAAGCAGCACTTGCCCTGGTCTCGGGCGCCAGGCCTCCACACACGCGCGCTGCCAGCTCGGGGCCGTGGTGGCTCCGTCCCTCCTGGGGGCTGGGTGGCCGACTGCAGGCCAGAGGCCACCTCACTTCGGAGCTGGGCCAGGTCATGCTCTGAGAAGGAGCGGTCCCGTTTCAGCGTCACCTCCCCACACGGAGACTCTTCTTCCTGCAGACACACCAGACGCAGCCCTGCCCTAACAATGCCCACCAGTGCCTCCTGCCCATGCCTGGACCAAAGCAAAGGACCCAGGGGTGCCGCTGGGTCTGCTGCGATGTGGGGCAGCCTGCACCCACTTCCCAGCCTGCCTGCCTCTGGGCAGTTCGTGGCAAGCACCCTAATAACCAAGCCCTTCCCCAAGGCCTTCTGGAAAGTCCTGGAAATTGACAGGTCTAGTGTCAGATGGAGGCAGAGCCCTCTGGGATGGCCCCCAACAAGGCCATCACCAGCCCTTCTGTGAAGAGAGAAGCATTCCATTCACAGGGCAGCCAGGGTGGGCAGGGAGCCTCGCTGGGACCACCTTTTCACATCAACTAGTGGGGGGCTCAGTTTCCTGGGCCTGAGACAGCGAGGCACTTCCGCCGTCAGCCTTCCATCGTCTGTGGGAGGAGGCAGCCCAGGCCCTCTCCCAGAGTCACCCTTCTGAGCGGCCAAGATGGCAGGGTCCCCGAGCCCCACAGGCCTCCTCCTAGGGCAGGACGTCAGTTTCAAGGGAGGGCC